CATCTTGTGTTTTAGGGTGGAGTCCTCTGTCCTAGCTCACAGGTGCAATGGCCTTGGCTGGGGCCAGCAGTCCCCCTGGCAGCTCTGCTTCCCAGGGGTGGCTGGGCCAGGCCCAGCTCTTGCCAACCTGTGGTGTGTGCTGGTGTACCCGGGCGGTGGGGCGGGCGCCTTGGGGCAGGGTGGGGTCTCCGGGCCCCCTCTGCCACAGAGCAAGGGCAAGACAGGGGGCTGCAGAGGTGGGAGAGCAGATGTAGGTTAAAACAATGTAAGGACAGCTAAAGGTCAGACTGGGATTTAAGAAAAAACTGTTTCCCTGACACTTTTGCTGTCCCCCTCGCTTTTCCAGAAAACATGATTGTGGAGGAAAGTATGACCTGGATATGCCAAGAACGGGGTGGCAGCCCAACTGCAGGAACCTGACTTCCTGCTTGGTGCTGCCACAGAGACTGATCTCATCCCCTGGCATGGCTGGCACAGCTGCCAGCTGTCCACAGATGTGGACAAAACACATTTCTTTGTCACTTGCCTGTTTTCTAAGAAATCTTGTCTACTTTGCTCCCCAACTTCTCCCAGTGCCTACAGAAGTCTGTCGGATTTTTGGCCCTTAAATCTAAAAGGAATGGATAATAGGTTACAGCCCAAAACAAAGCTAAACTTCAGGATTTTGGCAATTGTGATACCAGTGGGACCAAGCTCCCAAAATCTGAGCTCTGATTCTAGTGCTAAAGTCTTACATTGCACTTGTTCACTAGTTAATAAACGCCAAACTTGGACTAGTACTGTAATCTGAAAAAAAATCACAAGTGTATCCTGAATGCAGAACTCAGCCTGCAATAGTAGTTTTCCAGCATTTTATTAAAATAAATTAAATTGGAAAGATTTATTTTTATATGTATCAAGATTGGAATTCAATCAAGTACTTGGTGAATGAGATGTGAAGCTGAGGAAGTTTTTTCTGAAGAAAAGATGACAATATTTGGCCCAAACACTAAAGGATTCTGTAAAAACAATTAGATGTACTCTAAAGAAAATAATTCAAATAAATAGTTGTGTGTAGTGGCTGTTTCTAATTGGGCTTGATGTTTTATCACAGTTAGTTTTCCATTTAGGAGGGAGGATAGGAACCATAAAGTGATGCAAATTAGCAGAGCAAAATAGCTTTCTTTGCAACTGCTCTTTGAACCTTTGCATCTCTTTTAAGAATATGCTTACAGAATATTGTAGCAGTACATCTAGGAAGAAAAGTGGGTTGTTTTATAAACTAAAAGTATATGCCTTCCTAATAAATTGTTTCTGATAGAACTAGAAAATAGAGAAGAGTTTTCTTTTTAAAAGTCTGGTTTGCATTTTAATCTCATGGAGAACAGCCCTCATTACTCTTAAAGTGAAAGCTAGACACAACCCTCCTAATTTTAAGAAATTTTTATATTGGAAAGGTGGTGTGGTGTTTTTGTGCTACAGGTAATGTGTGATCTTACATTGTGAGAAGTAAACTTCTGCATCTCTAAACTTGCAGTATCTTGTTTTGGTAAAGCTAAAAAGGGGGCAACAGCATTGGGATTTTATTGCACCAGATTGTATGTAGTATCTGAGTGCCTTCCACCTATAGCAGAGAAGAACTGGGATTTAACTTCTCAGGATAACAAGTGTGTGTGAGGAATAGGAAGGGACAGCATGCTGTTTGTGGTAAAATTTTTGGCTTGGATGTTTTCTGCATTATTTATATATGACATTTGTACCCAAAGTTGTTCGGACACTTGTGATGTGTGGGTGTGTGTGGCAGGTAACCATGCAGTGGCTCTCTGGTGATGGAAATCCACTGTTGCGTGTATGCTGTTCATGTACTGCATAGCTCAGAAAGCTGTTGTGTGTACAGGTGCATACATGAAAAATATTTGATACAACTTTGAAGAAGTGCTGAAATCTGGGAATCACCAAAATGCTGATTCTGCTGTTTCTGAATAAACATATTGTTGGTGTTTTCTGGAAAGTTTTATGAATTAATTTACCTCTTTAGTGTTATATTAACTGTGTGGTATTGCAGAGCTACATAAGCGTTGGATCAGGAGATTGTATCCATTTTGAGCTAAGTATGACTTTGTTTAGATTTAGTGATTAAGATTGTATTTCTTTGTGGGATTGGAATGAAATATGGAGCTTCAGTGGAGATAATAACTTACTGATATTGTTGCAAACTCTGTATGTATATGTGAGCACGATTCTTCTGTGAATTTTACAGGAGGCAAGATTACAATAGCAGACTGATGTTGCAAATTTGATTGGTTGGGGAATTGTTTAGATGTCTTCACTGACAGTCACTTCCCTGTTAATTTTGGAGTGTTTTAAATATGCTTTCAAAATGTTTGTTTCCTTGATTGTTTGCTGTTATATCTCCTTGCTGGTTAGCAGGAGAAAGCTTTCAGCCATGCAAGATTCATCAGTGTTACTTTTTCCCTTTGTATCTTCTTTCACCAGGTCTTCCCCATCTTGGTCACTTTCTAAGTAATTTTAATGCTCATAAAGTACCAGAGTAACAAGCCAGGAGAAGTCATCCTGTCATGTCAGTTCAGGAGAAGAGAGATATACTGATGGAGTGAGTAAATTTGTGATCAAACTATCTCCGGGTTGGCTTGTTTTAAATAAATACAGAGATGATTTGGTGCCTAATCTCTACCTGCCTTTGATGTAGGGGATGAGAGATCAGAAATTGTCACATACAAATGAATTTTGACAACTGTAGTTTAAGCAATACAAAAATTTCAAGTTAATGTTAAAACAGTACAGACTAACTATTCAGTGTGAAGTGCCTGGACTTCTAAGTGTATGTGAATGAGTTTAAAGAACAGGAGCATATACACTTGTAGGTGCTTGCTACTTGCTACTTCATGCCTTCTTTCTGAGGTAGGTTTTTATCTTGTCTAGTAGCTAAAGGTTGATTATATGTTAGATGATCCTTTTTCATGACTATTTTTAAGCTTCCAAAAAAATTGTATTCTCCCTGTGAGAAAAAAGCTGACACAATTTAAAATGGTGGGGTTTTTTTTTTAATTACTTTAAAAATAGTTTAAAAAGTGTTCTGTAGATGCTGTGGATGCCTGAAAAATGAATGTAAGCCTACCAACAATGGATTAATCTTCTTAGTTACTTTTGCAAACCCATAGGAAATAATGACTGCAGTGTAAAAACTGCTGATCTAACGCTGTATCTATACTGAAGTCAGAGACCTCTGGACAGGGTAATAACACTTGCCAGCAAAGATAATGACAGAAGTCTAACTGTTTGGTAGCGTTAAACACAAGCTGTTTCACTTTGAGAAGAATGGTTGCCTAATAATGACTTTCACAGTCCTGCCCATGAAATCACACGAGTGGTAAACTTTGATTTTAAAATGTGCTTGCTATTTTGATGACCTTGGTCAAGGAAACATGGGAAGGGCAAAGAAGCGGAGAATAATTATTTGAAGTGCAAGCAGATGCTACTCTGATTTCTCAAGGAATTTTCTTGCGTAGAAAGGCGGGGTTAAAGAAATTGGGCTTTTTGTACTGAAAACAATGCAATACTTTAGCTGGTGTCTCTCCAGCTTCTTCTTTGTATGACCTATCATCTTAAGGATGAAGTGTTTTCAACAGTAAAAGACTGAAGTGGGCTGTTAGAGAAGAGTTTTTCAGAACACATAAAAAATTGTTTGCAAAATAAATAAAATGCTCATGCATATTTTTAAGTAACTTGCTATTAGTTTGTTGCCAAGTCAAGATAGGCTGAAGTTAAAGATGTGCATTGCTGCAGTTAAAGATGTGCCTTAAGTGATTTGCTAGTAAACCTCATAAATTGGTTAATGACTTTAACTAAGAATCCTTTTTTTTTTTTAAGTGCTTCTGGTGTTTTCTAGGTTGCTGGACTAAATTGTCTTTTGGCTGTCATGTCAAGAGTGCCAGAGATTGCTCTTCTGTATCTAATGAAATACTCTCACTGGTGTACACCTGTACTTGAACTGAAGAGGTAGAGCAGAGGAGGAGGCTAGTACAATGTAGCAACAGCTTACCTGACCAGTATTTGTGAGAACTGAGAAGTACCCTTTCAAAACTGGGTATCAATTTGAATAGCAGGGGAAAACCAGTACTCAGTGCTGTAGAATCTCTCATCTATAAAGCAGGTAGGAAACAGCTTCTTAGAACTACACAGAATAATCCTGGGAATGGAGGTGGGCTTGTGAGCTCATTTATCTCTGGTGTGGGCTCTCAGAGCTGTGAGTGATGCTGTACAGGTGTTGGTTTTATTTTGAGAAGCCCAGGCATTTACGTAACAATAATTATATTGGAAAAGATTGGTGTTTCTCTGAAGCTGAGCTCTTACCTGTATTTTAACCTTGTCTGCTGTTGGTCCACACACTGCTGCCAGCACAATATCCCATGCAGGTTTTGTAGATTCTTGGTTTTAATACTCACTAAATCTGTTCAGTTGAGTGTATAAATAACGTTCCCAGTTCTGATACAGTTCTGGCTTTAAATTATATGTTTTCATAGTAAGGAAGCAGCTGTATGTCCCTTCAGTGTTTTCAGCTTCCCCTAAAAGAATGAGTAAGTTCTCCTGAGATTGAAACTAGAGTGTCTCAGTATATGAACGAAAAGGGATAAAGCTGCCAAACTACACAGATGCTAGTGCAGAAATGGCATTAAGGTGGGTAGGATCTGGCCTGTTGCTGCTCATGCACTGGCTGGCCTAGCCTGCACGCTGAGATTTAGGTTGTCTTTAGTCTCCTTGTGGCTCTGCTGATGATGCTGCAGCACCTGAAGATACTGCTGCAGTGAGGTTTTGCATCCTCTCTGTCGGAGCTGACTACTCCATCCGAATAGCTGCAGATGGGGATGTATGTCTGCATCGGTGACCTTCAGCTTACATCCTGAGGAGTTGATGTAACTGCAGCCACCAAAGGCAGGCTGTGATCTGGGAAGGCTGAAGACGAGGGCATGTGTCCTGTCTGTCTGCTCTCGGAACCGAAGGCCATAAGGCCCTGCAGAGTGGTAGGGAGAGAGGTGTGGTTATGTCTCCAGCTTAGTCTGGAGTTGGCTGCAGACTGAGTATAGGACATACTTTGAAACCATGTCAAGAAGTGAACAAGGCCCAGTGAATTTCAGATGAGTCAATAAATGTTTTGTTAAAAGTCGCTGGGTTTTGCAAGCTGCTGGAATGGGATCTTCCAAATGAAAGTTAAAAGACATACTGTGGGTTCCCATGTTGAGCAGACAAGAGAAAATATGCGAAAGAAGTGGTAAAAATCAAATTGGTTGGCCACCTTGCTTCTCCTTTCTCCTGTCAGTACTAACATAGAAGACATCAAGCAGGGTTTTAAAAAGTTTAAGAACATGACTTAAACTGATGTACTGTTTTGTTTTGGACCTGTGTCCCCTCTGTACACCCAGTGCAAAATACCTGCAAATCGAGCCATGCAGAGCTAATGAAGCAAAACATTCAGACCTGAAAGAGAGAGCAAGACAAGTGTCTAAGTGGGAATACTCTCTGTCATTATCTCCACCGTCTCATTTAGAAAAACCATAAACAAATAGGGATTGTCTGCTTTCGCCGTTGAGAGGTATAGATCCGGTCTTGGCAGTGAGAGTGTTAGGAAGATCCATTGACACACTGTTTTCCATTAAGGGTTTTAATTCTTCTTTTGAAACAATGGCTGATAGCTCCCATGATAGTCACTCCACCTTGCGTGTATCTTTCTGGCTTTACCTCAACGCTTTATTTTCCAAGCTCACATTTGTTTAGGTGTTCCATACTGCTCTGTTTTCTGGGGGTTTTTGTAATGCTGTCGTAACAGTATGAACAAACCTCACTCCTGAGGAGCGTGGGGACAGCGTGGCAAGTTGCAGGTTCAGCCTGACCCTTGCAGAGGCCGGGACAGCGGGTGGGGGAGCCCCACACCGCAGGAGCGGAGTCACTCCTGGGGGGACACGGCTCCCCCAGGAAGGGGGGCCTTGGTGGGGCTGGCCTGTGCATTCAGGAGAGAAGGCTCACGTGGAGCAGGAGGTGCTGCTGCTGAGTTGAAGCCCGGCTTGGTGTCGGTTTGAATTTTAGCCTGGAAAGCTTCAGTTCTTGAAGCCGTTTTCTTAAAGTAGGGGTTCTCAACCTTTCTTTCACCACTGCCCCCTTTTAAATACTTTTCGTGGCTGTGGGCCACCAAGACTTAGTTCAAGATTTAAAGCACTAGACTGCATCGAGTCTTTATTTCAGTTTTCTTTTGAAGGGTCTTCAAATTTGTAGAGAAGGGGAAGTAAGCTGTTAATGCATGCACTCGTATTATAATATCTTTATTGCAATGATTCCCACTTGCAGCGGGCCAGACCAGATGCTTCTGGGCTGGATGTTTCTGACCCCTGCTTTAAGCCTTTGCGGACCCCCTGTGATGACACCATGGCTGTCCTAAAGAATCCCCCCGGCCTCTTCTCTATTTTTTCCTTTTTTTTTTTTTTTTTAAATAACTTTACCAAAGGGAGTGGGTCACGCAGGGCGGAGGATGGCAGTTGGGTCTTTCCCATCAGCTGTTGTTCGGCGTTTCCCCCGGTTGCAGAGGCAGAGCGCCCGGCCCCTCCTGCGGGACGTGCCTCCGCAGCC